AACAACATACACTTTACAAGAGAACTTCAAAGTACACGTAGGAAACACTGACAGAATTAAAGGGAAAAATAAACAGCTCCACAATAATAGTTCATAGTTCAATGTTACGTTCAACAGTGGCTGGAATACCCCAACAGAAGATCAGTAAGAAAACAGAGGGCTGCAACAACAGTGCTAAGCAACTAGACCTTACAGACGTCTACAGAACACTCCACCCAGTAAGGAAATAAACGTTCTCCTTTGGTGTGCATGTATCATTCTCAAGGGTCAACCATATGTTAAGTCACAAAACAAATGTGAATAAATTAAAAAGGTTGATATCATAACAAAGTATCCTCTCTAATCACAACAGAATAAACTGAGAAATTACAACAGAAGGAAAACTGGAAAATACACAAACATGTACAAATAACTTATGAGATGCAGCAAACGCAGAGCTCAGAGGGAAATTCATAGTTGTAAATGCCTACATTTGAAAAAAAGAAGACAGGTCTCAAATCAATTAACGTAGCTTTACACTTTGGAGAGTCATGGAGGACAAGAAAACAAAAAACAAACTAAGTCCCAAATTAGCAGAAGGAAGAAAATGATAAAGATGGGAACAAAGATAAAGGGAACAGAAAACAGACACATGATGGAGTCCACAGGCAGACCACAGACATAAGACGGAGTTCACAGACAGACCACACACGACAGAGTCCACTGACACACAACAGAGTCCATAGACAGACCACAAACACAAGACAGAGTCCACAGACAGACCACAGACACACGATGGAGTCCACAGACAGACCACAGACACACGACGGAGTCCACAGACAGACCACACATGACAGAGTCCACTGACACACAACAGAGTCCACAGACAGACCACAGACACACGACAGAGTCCACAGACAAACCACAGACACACGACAGAGTTCACAGACAGACCACAGACACACGACAGAGTCCACAGACAAACCACACACGATGGAGTCCACTGACACACAACAGAGTCCACAGACAGACCACACATGACAGAGTCCACTGACACACAACAGAGTCCTCAAACAGACCACAGACACACGACAGAGTCCACAGACCACAGACACATGACAGAGGCCAGAGACAGACCACAGACACACAACAGAGTCCACAGACAAACCACACACGATGGAGTCCACTGACACACAACAGAGTCCACAGATAGACCACACATGACAGAGTCCACTGACACACAACAGAGTCCACAGACAGACCACACACGACAGAGTCCACTGACACACGACAGAGTCCTCAGACAGACCACAGACACACGACAGAGTCCACAGAC